AAAAAAAAAAAAAAAAAAAAAAAAAAAATTTTTTTTTTTTTTTTTTTTTTTTTTTTGTCTTTTTTCCATGTCCGGCAACGGATCGCAACCCTCAGTGTTGCCCCCGTACCGGACCGGGGACCGGCAACGGGATCGCAAGCCTCGGTGTTGCTCCCGTGCCTCGCTCAGCCAGTGAGCGGGAACCGGTCTGTATGTGGGATCCAAACCCTCGGCGGGAGCGCCGCCGCACTTCCCAAGTGGCGCACTATATCAGTGCGCCACCGGGCCCGGCCCTAAAAATGATTTCTTAAATTATTTAATTTTCTTGAGGATTGCTACATCAGGCCAAGATGAATTACAGGGACTGACTTACCCTACCACCTGAAACAGCCAAAAAAACCCAGACAAAATATATAAAACAACAGTGTTTAAGACACTGGACATGAGGCAATGAAGGACAGTGAGTCTGAGAGATGGGAAACAAATAAGATGAGCCCTGTAATTCCTACAGCTTACTTCTGAAGGGAGTTTCCAGGTTGTAGTGTAGGGAGAAGGAATGTACACAGAAGCTGGCAGTCTCACTGAGTTGAAGAGATAGAGCTGAGAGTCCAGGGGGACCAAGGAACCTAGAATCTGTAGGACAGAATATCTGAAAGGAGAGAATTGCACAGAAAGAACTCCAGAGATCTGCACAAGGTCCCCTTCAAGTATTTTAGCAGAGCACATGATCAGTGCATATGTGTGAGGAAGCCATCCAAGTCAGAGGAAAACCATCTAAAGTGATGAGGGAACAGTACCTACCACTCACAGAGAGCTGGGAATAGTGCCTGTTTGTACCAGCCAGACTGGAAAGCCTCCTAATTCATGGGGCTTGGACAGAATATGCAGAAGGGTGTTGCCTTAGCAGTGGGAAATAATTAGCCCTAGACTAAGCAGTAGTAGTCCTACCTAACAAATTGTAAAAGCAAAACTTGAAAGGATGAAACTATTTCCAAGTAACACAATTGCATCCCAGAAAAAATCTCTAGAAGATGAAAAAGCATCAAGAAATGAAGATGAAAAATATACTGTATGGGATTAATGACAAACTGGACATTGCAGAACTTAAAGACATAGCAATAGAAACTATACAAAATGAAACAGAAAGAAAAAGAGAATTTAAAAAATGAATAGTATCAATAAGCCATAATTTCAAGCTTAATATATGAGTAATTAGAATCTGTGAAAGGCAGCTGGAGTAGAACAGAAAAAATATTTGAAGAAATAATGACCAAAATTTTCTAAATATGATAAAAAGTATAAGCCCAAGGATCCAAGAAGATCCACAAATCCCAAGTACAAGAAACATGAAAAAAACTACACTAAGGCACAGAATAATCAAACTACTCAAAGCAACTAAAGAGAAAGCTTAAAAGCAGTGTGGAGAAACAAAGATGATGGTAGAGTTATTGTTGGAACCAATGCAAGTGAGAAGATAAAGTAGCAGCATCTTTGAAGTACTAAAAACAAACAAATCCATCAAATTATCATTCTATAACCAGCAAAAATGTCTTTTAAAAATGAAGGCAGAATGAAGACTTTTTCAGACATTCCAAAGCTGGATGAATTCATTACCAGTATTCTCACACTAAAAGAAATGTTAGTAGGAAATCCTTCAAGCAGAAGGCAAATGGTACTAGATGGAAATATGGATCTACAGAAAGGAATGAAGAGTACCAGAAATGGTAACTATGTGGGTAAATATACAAAATTTTTTTCTTATCATTTAAAACTCTATAAATTACTTAATTTTCTTTCCCCTAAAGTTTCAAGTTAAATTGAGCTTCAGGAGTTATATATACAATGTTCACTGTTACACATGACTTCGAGGTCATCATAATCCATTCTGAAAGGCAGGGGACCTACACATAAGGCTGGCTCTGGATTATATAATAATCACTTACCTTTCAAAATATAGGGAGACTGAGCCACATGTTCATCACCATAAAGGATGTCTATCTTCAGCCCTTCACTGACAGTTTCATACATCCTATATCTCACCAAAAAAGTTCCATCATTCCTGTCCAAAGGTTCAGGAACATGAATCCGGACTAACTCTTTAGGTGAAAGAGATTTGACTGCTACTTTAAATAGTGTTTGACCTGAAAGAAAAAGAAATATAAACAACTCTATCACTTTATGATTATTATGCCTTAACAATTATTGGATAGGTATATCCATATATAAGTTACTTATTACTGTAGCATCAATAGTAAACAAAATCATTTCAGCTTGGATGATCTTTGAGGCCGGGAACTATGTCTGGTTTATGTGCTGAAACTAAGGATCAGACTCAAACTCAACATTTAATTCGTTTATTTGTTTTGTTTTTTTTTTTTTTGGTGGTTAGCCAGTACATTCGATAAAGATGTACTGAGTGAACAAAATCAATTCATTTTTAAAAATCAAAGAAGAAATTAACTTTTTGCCATGTGATCTTTTTTCCTTTGTGTAGGATTGAAGCCCAGGTAGTTAAAAATCCATGAACTCTAAGAAGGACAGACCTCTACAGTAATCCAACTTTCTTCTTGAAAAATACTCACAAACTTTCTTTGTATACCATTTCAATATCTAACAACCCTTATTTCTGAAAAATTTCCCCTTTTTTTAAACCCAAATTTCAAGCAATACTTCTAAGCACATTTTCTTAGGTAGAGAGCAATAATAGCTAATTACCAGTTTGCACAAATACACACACACGAACACACACATGCATCTTTATAAATACTAGAGTTTACTTCTCTATATCCACAGTTTGAAATGAAATATTTATACTATGATGATCCCTTCCAACTCCAAAATTATATGGGTTTTCTGTTCTACGGTAAATAATACCTACTTAACAAACTTGCCTTTTTCTATCAGCTGACTTATTTAGGCTTTGAAACAATACTGTTGTGATTAATGTTACTGTGGCCCAGGAATAAATTTTGGAACCTCTTTTTTTCAGAGAGTACAGTGGATATATCATTCAGATCACCATATCAGAGGGAGATGTTTAAAAAGTGGTGAATCCTCTAAAATCCACAACCCTAGTAAACAGTAAGTTGTGACCAAAGTTATCTTTCATCTCACATCTATCATATTAGGAAATAAAGCTCATTTAGGGGCTGGCCTGTGGCTCACTCGGGAGAGCGCGGTGCTGATAACACCAAGGCCACGGGTTCGGATCCCATGTAGGGATGGCCGGTTTGCTTACTGGGTGAGCATGGTGCTGAGAACACCAAGTCAAGGGTTAAGATCCCCTTACCGGTCATCTTTTAAAAAAAGAAAAAAAGAAATAAAGCTTAGTTAATATATGTTTTTTGAAGTTACTGAAAAAATTTGTTTCTCCTATTATTAGTTTCTATATCTAGTGACTGTGAGATTCTACTTTCTTTTGATCTTCAAGGGTTTTATTTTTTCTGCTGTGTCAGGAGAAATGTTTCTCAGTCTCTTCTATTTAGTAACTGTAATATGATATCTGACACATTGCTATTAAATAAGTAGCAAACACATTTTAGGATCCTTGAAATAAGTGTAATAAAATTATGAAAGAAATCTGCTAAAATAAATGAACTATAATAAACGGAGTGGATGTTATTTAAAAAGGTAACAATTTAACATGAAATTATTAAAAATGTTGGCCAATTACCTGAGATGCATAAATGAAACACATAAATCTCTGCCTTATTTTCTACTTGGTTTCAGAAAGGCCATGTGGCACAGCAAATTGAAAATCAGGAGAGAAAGTCTGGGAATTAGAAAGCACTTTCCATAGGGCCGGCCCGGTGGCGCACTGCTACAGTGCGCCGCTCGGGAGTGCGGTGGCGCTCCCGCCGAGGGTTTGGATCCCACATACAGACCGGTTCCCACTCACTGGCTGAGCGAGGTGTGGGCACAACACCGAGGGTTGCGATCCCGTTGCCGGTCCCGGTCCGGTACGGGCGCGACACTGAGGGTTGCAATCCGTTGCCGGACACGAAAAAAGACAAAAAGGAAAAAAAATAATAATAAAAAAGAAAGCACTTTCCATAGCTCTCTTCCCAAATTGGAAATGTACAAAAAGGTTTTCTTGTCTGCTGATCAAACACTCCTGTTCTCCATACGTTTATTTTAAACAAACAAAACAGCCATAATGCAACCATATTATTGACGATGTGATTTTTTGGAAAGAGCTGGACTTACAGAAGAAAACTAGCTCCAAAATGCTTCATTATTTGTAAACTGCAAATATTGGACTAGATCACTATGGTCTCTTCCAATTATAACATTTTTGTCTCTGAAACAGCATTTAAAAGTTATGTTTCAAAATGTATCAAACTATAATATAGAAATTGGAAATACATATTTTAAATGTTCCGTTATTTTTATAGTAATCTTTCATGCCTGTGTCATTGTTGGCATGAAATTAATATTAGCATCAATGCAAAATAATATTGATCAGAGTTGAAACAGAAATAAGCAATTCTAATCTCATAAAAGAGAAAATGAGAAAAGTGAAATTTCAAATTGCTTCAAATGGGAGGAATGTGAGTTCTCATTTACCCTGGGTCTAATATAATAGAACAGAATTGAAGCTTGGCTTGAGCTTTCTACTGTACAAATTCAAACTTCTTTAAGAGAAATAGCTAACTGAATGAGAATGCAGTGACTGTGTGGACAAAAGGAGGTTGTCCATATCAGTCTCAACATCATTAGAGTTAGAGATCTTGATCACTTTTGATATGGAAAGAAATCAAAAGCATTTTTAGACATTCATGTACTTAGCACTTATTATGTGCCAGCTCCTGAGCTTCAGATTTTGTATGTATTTTCTCATTTATTTCCTACAAGAACTTTGAGGTAGGTATTTGTCACCCTCATTTTACAGATCAAGAAACCAAAGCTCCAAGAAGTTAAGTGACTTGCCCAAGGTCACATACAAAACCAGTAGCAGAGCCAATATTTGAACACAGCTTCACAGAATTCAAAATTGGAGAAATATTGCTGGCACTTGTGGTACAATGGTGTCATCTCCTGTTGTTTAGGAAGTTTATTAAGTCTTTCTGCAGCTACAATAAATTGTTGACCCCACGTGGCCAAACAGAGTCCTGGGAGGCGAAGGTGTTATGTGCCCTGAGGATAAAGGCAAATCCTCCAAAAATGTCTGGCTGCCAGCTGGCCATGCACACTCTCCAGGATCTTATGGAAAACTGATATTAGGGTGATTTGATAAAAGGGAAAGAGTATCAAAGTAGGAATTCAAATGGTTGTTCTGGTCTTGGCTCTGACACTTAGTTGTAGGGCCCATGGGCAAGACCTTTTAGCTTCATTGAGGCCAGTTTCCTATGTGTAAAGTGAAAAAAAAATCTATCCTCTTTACCTCACCAGACTATTTTTCAGGACAAATTAAATAGGGCATAGTTTAAAACACTAAAGTACTACACAACTAGGAGGTAAGATTATTTTATGAAGATACCATTGCTGATGAATGTTGAGGACTGAGTAGAATATAATTACATCCTTCCACCTTGGCATATTTCAGCCATCCCTACACCTCAACCCCTTCTTTCTATTCATCTACAATATTTAGTTGGAATCACTGCCAGGCATTGTGCTAGATGCTTGGAATATAACAGTATCAACAGGTTCTGCCTACATTCATAATGGAAAGAAATGCTTAATTTAGGTCAGAGGTTAGTGAAAATAAAGATACAGGATTTTTTTCCCCATCCAAGCTCACAGACCCCCTAATTTCTGTCTGTGGACTCCAGTTTGAGATTGCCTGCTTTAGATACTGAAGTTCACAATATGTTTTCTAGATATTTGGATATATGCAGCATAATAATAGTATTCAGATAAATGTTACACTGTTAAATAGGAGTGATAATAAGGAAATCTTCATAAGTGTGTACAGTAGACTACAGCTTGGAAAAATTTTTCCTCTTTTTCAATTAGTTCTGGGAGAAGGAAAGATTTCAGGATTTGCAAGTGTATGACAGTAGCAGAAAATGTAAAAAACTGATTAGGTGAGCTTTTCAGAACTATAAGACAGCTTTTTAATTGGAAGCTAGAAATCAAGTGGCCTGAAAGAAACAAAGAGAATCCAAAGGAATGACAGTAAGATTGTCTTAAGTTTTTGGTGACGTGGTGAAAGACTTTTTTCCTGATTATAAAAATATTATGATCATTTTAGGGGAAATTTTTTTTAAGAAAAATAGTATGAAAAAGAAAAAAACCCTTACTCTCTTGCTGTAACCACTGATAAGCATAGGTACAGGTTCATTTATTTTTTTCAAAATTGGAATGAAACTATGTAATTTCTGTTCTGTTCTGCCCTTAACCTTGTATAAGCATTATTAAATAATCTTTACTCATATTAAATAATCTTTAAAAAATTTTAAGACATTTTAAATTGTGATTTAAAAAACACATAAAATTCACCATCTTAACCATTTTTAAGTGTACAGTTCAGTAGAGTCAAGTATTTTCAAGTAACATTTTAGATTCAAGTAACGTTTTCACATTGTTGTGCAATAAATCACCAGACCTTTTTCATCTTACTAAGCTGAAATTCTACGTCCATTTGAGACAGGACAGGGCTAGGCCTGTGAACCAAACTGACTCCATTTTCCCTGCAGAGGACATTTTGTTACTTTTCCACTCCTCTATCATGACACCCCAGTGGACACGATTACCCCATGGCCCTGATCAAAGTAATTGAAAGAGACCTGTTGGGCATGACTGGTTGGGTGTAACTACCCTGATAAAATAAACTGAGATAAGAGAACAGATATTCAATTCACTGAGTTCCAAAACCACTCCCCAAGGCTTGTTTCCTGTAACTGTAAAAATTAAATTACAGATTAACCTTACGACCCCTTTAGGAGTTCCCGCATGTGCACAAAGCTTCAGGGTGACCGCTACAATGACCCTCCTGGGATGACGATATTGAACACCACCACCATCTTGGACCTACTGAGCAGCACAAGGACCAAAGCTCTAACTGAGCGTGCACCCACGATGCAATCAGGAAGAACAGAATGGACCACCTCCAGAAGTGCAGAATGATGACACTGGCCTGCTCCTTGACCCCATTTCCTATAAAGAACCCTAAACAGCTCCTCTAAGGGGAGCTTTCCTGTAGCTACCCCCCTTAAGCACTGCTTGCTCTACTGCTGGGTGCTTTGTTAATTTCTATGACTTTGGGACCCAAGAGCCTAATTTGGTAACATATTTAACATCTTCCTATTTACCCTTTCCCCTGCCTACCATCATTCTACTTTGTTTCTATAAATTTGACTACTTTAGATACCTTATATACGTGGAATCTAAAATGTTACTTTTAATGGCTATCAAATAGTCTATCATACTGAATGTATCATACTTTATTTATCAATTACATAATAGTTGGCTATGTGGACTTGCTGTGACAAGTAATTATAATACTGCAAGAATATCCTTGCATATAAATCTCTGACCACACAGATTATTTTCTCAGGACAGATACCTAGAACTCAGATAAAAGGGCATGATTTTTTTTCGTACATAATATCTTCTTAAAAATTAAAATGTTGAAACTCTTTATATATATATACACACACAAACATATATGTGTATAAGTTTTGTAAAGTTCAAGACTCTTGATAGTTTGGAAAATTACTTTCCAGAAACAATTTACCAATTTGTGCTCCCATCAGTAGGGAAGGAAAGTGACTATCAGAGTGTCCCATTGCTCCCTTAACAGCTTAGAATATTTCCACTAAAAAAAAAAAATCTCTGGGCCGGCCCTGTGGCTCACTCGGGAGAGTGCGGTGCTGATAACACCAAGGCCAAGGGTTCGGATCCCACATAGGGATGGCCGGTTGGCTCACTGGGTGAGCGTAGTGCTGACAACACCAAGTCAAGGGTTAAGATCCCCTTCCGGTCATCTTTATATAAAAAAAAAAAAAACTCTGCCAATATCTTTATATAAAAAATTGAATTTTATTTGGGCTTGTGTTATTTTTGTTAATAGTTAAATTAACATTATTTCATTTCAAATCATGTAATTTTCTTTTTTCACGTATAACTTTTTCTTAGTTTTCCATCTTCTTTTCTTATTAAAGTCCCTCTTTATTTTAACATTACAAAATTAATTTTAAAAAATAAAGCAGAAAATACACGCCTCACGAATCTTCAATTTAGATTTAAGAATCTTTTCTTCTGAACCTTAGGACAATGGAAAGTCTCTGTAAGACCAAAAAAAAAAAAGTCGTTTGCAAGGGTAAGCCATGTAGAAACATAGATGCAATCCCTTTTCTGTTAAGATATTTAATAGACACTGAGTGTAAACTGTTTCTGGTTGATGTGTGTGTATACATAACTTTAAGTCATGTATCACTTGGATTTTGACGAGGGTCTTTAATATGTATATCGGGGTTGGCAAACTATGGCTAATCCAGCTCATTGCTTATTTTTGTAAGGCCTGTGAGCTAAAGAATGTTTTTTTACATTTTAAAATGGTTGGAAAAAAAAACAAAAGAAGAATATTTTGTGACATGAAAAATTATATGAAATTCAAATTTCAGCGGCCAGAGTTTCACTAGAGCCCAGACAGCCCATTTGTTTACACACTGTCTAAGACTGTAGGCAGAAGTGAGTAAATCTGACAGACTGTATGACATGCAAAGCCTAAATTATTTGCTATCTGGCCCTTTAAAGAAAAAGTATGCCAAACCCTGATATAGACTCATGAGTCCCTGCTGTAATTATTCTACCCTAGTGCATAAAAAGCATACGAAACCAGTTTTTTGAGGATTTAGGGTCTAATTAGGCCTAATTTGATCTAATGCTATCAAAGTGATATTCAAGGACAACTTTAGGAGTGGTGTTCTGAAGCAAATGTAGAGCACAAGCACCATGTCACTCTCAGCTCTAAATTCTCCAATGGCTCTCCTTTACCTAGTTCTAAAAAGACTTTGCTTGGCATTCAAGGCCCTTGAAGATTTGGGGCTGTGATCTGACTAGCCTTTCCTGCTCAGCATCATTGAAGTACTTATTGTCCTGAACACCACGCTCTCTATGCCTCTGTGCTTTTGCACATGCGGGTGCATCCACCTGCGTGTCCGCCCCCTCCCCCTGGCCCCCCCCACCCATCCTTCAACTGTGTGCTCCTGAAATGTTCCCAGACTTTTTCAGGCCAACTTGGTAGTTCTTCAATGTTTCCGTTGCACTCTGCACATACCTTCATTGTAACAATTATCTTGCACAGTTATCTGTTATCTGCATGCTTGTTTTCCCAATAGACTGTAAATTCCTTGATGGCCAGTCATTGTCTTTTCATCCTTATTTACCCAGCAGCATTACCAAACACATAGTAAGTAGACAGCAAATGATTATTGCTTGAATAAATAAAAATTTTAAAAATCTTTAAAAGTGAATTATGTTTGGCTCCTAAATTTTCTGCTTTGCCTAATTTGTCCCTAACTCCCCATCCACAAGCTGGGGCTCACTTCTGGCAGCTAAGTGAAGTTCCCAGCTGGACTGGCAGAGGAAGAGACACTGGTTTTGATTGCCTCTTTGTTAATAGGGTGCCAGTTGGCCAATCCTGACTGGCAACACTTGAAACCAGCAGGACAAGTTGTAAGAAGCTGCAAAGTTAAGATGTGAAGTAGATCGTGGGAGGGGGACCAGGCAGAAAGGGATTCAGGACAAGATCCACCCTCAGTGGAGGGAAAACCGAATGATTTCTATTGTTTCACTAATTCCTGTAATCTGCTTTCAAGAACTCAAAACTAAGAAGAAAACAAAACCAAGGGTGCAAAACTGCCTCCTTTCTGTCTACTGCTCTGACATTTCCTCTGTGTAGGAGTTCGTTGTTTCAAAGCCATCAGGCCTAAAGCATGTAATCTGAGGTGGGCTTGATGACTCATCACGTGCAGGCACTCCCTGCATGTTGTAACAGTTCAGACAACTAAGAGGCGGAGGGACCATCCTCCAACTCTGTGACTCACACCACATTCATTATAATATTGTGGGGCGAAGGCACAGAGGAATCCAAGACCGACGTTAGTGTTGTAGTTTTATAGCTCTTTATTTTAGTGTTGCAGCTCTTTGTTCAGCGTTATAGAGCCTCTTTTTGCTTGCAAGCAAGGGGAGCACTGAAGAGCAGAAACTCCTAACCCAGTGTCTCCCAGAACAAAAGAAAAGACCCCCTTATATAACCTAAATTCTTGCCCGTTTCCCTCCCAGGTTCCCATTCAGGTCCTCTTATGTAAATGAGGGATGCTGTCCTGCTAATTTAGATTGGCTGGTTATGGGACACAGTCTGTTGGTCACTTTAGGAGCCTAATTTGCCTCTGGCCCCTGGGGGAGGGTGTGAGACTGCTGTTATCTCATAGAGGGTGGGTCCAAGAAGCAAGCCGGGTAAATGGCAGGGGCCTGAGTTTGCAGTGGAGCATAGTTTATAAAACAGTTTCTCAAAAGGGAAAAGCTCAACAATTAAAAATGCTTAGGGTTCCCTGCAACAATAACGCCCTGGGCGCCATCCACTCGGAACAGCAGTCCCTGCACAGTAAATGTGCAAGAACCCTCGGAGTTCGTTCATCCATTCAACCAGCTTTTGGGGAGACTCCTTCCCGCTTTGTATCTGGCGAGGACAAAGGAAGAGGAGCTGACCTCACCGGAGAAAGGGCGACTTACGCCGGGGGAAAGGACGCCCCGCAGGCCCCGGGCAGACTCCGGGGCGGGGCTGTCGCGGCGTGGACGCGCGGCGGCGACGGACGGGGAGCGCGCAGCGAGGCAAGGGAGGCCCGCGGCGGGACGGTACCTGGGGGCGAGCGAGTCAGGTTCTGGCCCTCCGAGTCGACCGCCTGCACGTAGAAATAGCGGACGGGCAGGACGACGGCCGCCTGCAG